GTCACAATGTTATGTGTGTAGTACACTGTATCCAGTAAACAATAGCAGTACACTATCACTGGTGGGGGTAAGGCTTATGGTAATATAAAAGAGAAAGGAATGCATGGGAAACAAAAATGCAACAAAGCTAGCTTCGATGAATTATTTTTTATTTTTATGTCTTAACATACACAAAACATATAGGGTGTTCCGTTCTCGATATTTACACTTAGACAATCTTGGAAGGTTGGAATGCCAAGAAAATAATGAAAAGAATGCAAGCAGTTTGATGTTAATCATTGCTTTGATGGATTGAGGTAGTGATTTTAGAACCAGGTAATAAAGATGTTGGGTGGGTACCTAGGGTAAGCACTAATTAAATTATTTCATTTTGTTACCTAAGAGTTTTTTAATTTTTACATTTAGTTATTTTTTGTTAAAAAATACATACAGCAATAAATAAAAAATATAAATAAAAAAATATTTAGCCCTTACTTTTAAGTGTTAAGGGCTGTTTACACTCAGATTCCATGCTTCAGTAAAACTATTTACAGTAAAACAGTTCATTCAGCTTTCATATATGCATCTTAGAAAACTAAAAATATATCAGGCATTAGAATAGTGTCTCAAAACTACTATAATTTAGCTGGCTTTCTAACTAAGCTATAAACTGGTTAAAAGCATTCTGTGCTAGAAGCAACAAATTTACTCAACATGCATCAAGCACTTATTGCAAACTGCCATCTTTTAACAGCTAAGCATCAACAAATGGCTTTAAAATTCTTGTACATTATAAACATGTCCATCATAAAAGTAGATGTGATGTAAATAATTGGTACGAAAAACATAAAAAGATGAGAGGGCTTTTCTAGTGGGTTTTATAAACTTATAGATATCTCAGTAAATCAAAAAGGTAGAAGGTTCAGATTTTACATTCTTTCTTCTCATTATGTGTAGTTTTGGTTTGCAATTGGCTGTAAGCCTCACCAGCCTATTTTTGAAATGCTAGACATGCCATACTACACAAAAGAGCAAAGACTGAGAAAATTTTTAATGTTTCCATTTTAAATTAAGAAATTAAAACTTAGATAATATTAAAATCTAAATTTTAAACCACTCTTTGAAGCCAAATTCATCAACATATTGATAATACGATCATTTAATTAAATTTTGAATATAACTCTGCATTAGGTTGTGACTTGTACTTTGACCATGCCATACTGAAAGATTTGTATTTAATAAGTTTTACACGTTTTATATTCATTTATACCTTTTTTTACATTTTTTTGTGATCTTTACCCATTCAAGCAGTTACTTAGGCCAATTAAATCTAATGTAAACTCTGGCTTTTTCAGAAAAATGAGTGGAGTGTAAATGTAAAATGGTCTAACTAAGCCCAACAATTCTAAACCTGACCTAGTTCCATAAAATAATGTATTTTATTTTTTTATCATATTTTCAATATCATACCTCAAATGAAATAAAAAAAAAGGATAAAGCAAGCTTTAAATAAAAAGTATCAGGACTTTAATTGAGGGGGAAATTGTTAACAAATATCTTTTTCTAAGTTTTTATCATTTTATTCTGATCTCCACCGAAATGGATGCCATACAGTTGAAAAGAACAGAAAAAATAGCTTTAATTATATGTTTAGATCACTAGCTTGTCTCTTGTTAAAGTTGAGATATGGGTAACTTATATAACCAGAAGACAATCAAGTTGAGAAACAGTTTAGCTAAAATTGGTAAGATTATATTTGTATTAAAATTACAATGTTCAAACTGACACCATTTTGTTCAAAACTATTTTGACTTTCCTCCTTGAGGGCTATAAGTGATGGTTAATTATGCTAAAAAAAATGCAGGAAATTCACAAACATTAAGGTTGTTGTTCAGAGAATGCTGAAATCAACCAAAATTCAGTTTGCAACTCAAAACAAAATTTATATCAAATTTAATAGAAAATAAAAAATCTATTGTTTAAATTTTAATTCTGAATTATTTTAAAAATAAAAGGGTTGGAAAAACAACTACAGATTTTTTAATTCAATGGTGTAATATTGCTCTCAGGCAAGTGGTGCACTTTATTGGGTACAATTGGTTATAAACTTAAAGCAATTAAGAAATGTCAAATATACATATAACATGTCAGGTCAAACTATTCATGAATGAAGAGTTTTTGCTATGTGTGATCCATGCACTAAAGTTATTTAGCTATCTCCAACTTTTCTTCGGAATGTTTATAACATACCCAACCTGTTCAGTACTTTTGCACAAGTTAAGAAGAATTGACAATGTTACTTGTATGTGCATATTAACAGGCTCAACAAAGAAGTTTTAAATTTGAATTGTATGTGTAAATAAAATTCAGTACATTGTCAAAAGCACCTATTTCAGTATTACTGCAACTTTAGTTATAGAATTTTGTTTTTTATACTTTGTTTTTCTTGCTTATGTTATTATCATTATTTCTTTTGTGCACAATATTACTAACTTAGAAGTTAAGAGCTGCTTTCTACAGTTAACCTTTTATAGGGTTTATTCAGCATTTAAATATTTCTTTGTGAACATAAATACTGTTAAATATTTCCATAATTTTCATTCTTAATCTTAAGATATTGCAACAGGAAAAGCCATATTTTCAAACGGTCACATGTACTTGTGTTAGTATTAAGGTGACTAGATGTCTTGGTGTCCTAATAGATCCTTCTGGAACATATAAATGTCCTGTTTTTAATCTTTATTAGTAACCTATAATATTTTTATACTAATGTTCAGTTTTTTGAGCCTCTGATAACCACAAATCAACATATAAGATTTTTTTCAACACAGTAAGAAAATTATTATACAGCTTGGAATGACTCGACACTAATAACTCATGGGATTTCTGATGTACTTTCATAGAAAGAGTTATTTCACCCACTTTTTATCAATCTTTTATATGTTTTAATATAAAATTACTCAACATGATGGAAAAGTGGTTCCCTCTTGTACTTAACAGTATAAAAGCAAGTCAGCAATTTGAGGGTTAACCCTATGAGCATGGATGGGAGTCAAAGTGCACATGCCACATGTTATAGAGTGCCATTCAACATGGTACTATGTATTTTATGTCAGAGTTATCATATATGTGAATCCAAATGCACATGTCACAACATGTTATAGAGTTACATTCAACATGGTATTATGTATTTTATATCAGAGTCATCATCTATACATTTTACCCTAAATTGATGATTTAGCAAATGTTTGTGGTAGAGGAAAGTAAATACCACATATAAAATAAAGGGACTCTGAATAAAACTGTAGATATACATTTTGGAGATTCTGGAGGTTATGCAAATGTAATATGCAAACTGTATAACTTTTATTCTTTACATGAGCATCACTTTACACTCTGACTTGTCAGAGTCCAAGTCAGACTGTCACTGGCAATTCACAGATAGATATCTTCAGTACAGATACTTTTGTAATACATCTGATTTTTTGTGTACAACAGAATTGTACACATTTCTAAAAGCTTGTTTACACACATCACAGTAAATTCAGAATTATAGTCAAGATTCCAAAAGACCAACCCCATATACATTCGGTTAAAAGAAGAATCACAAAGAGCTGAAAAACGAGTGCAAAAATTACTATGACAGTGATACATGAAAAATTGAAGCTATTATTATTTACCAGGTTAATTTTTAGTTTTTAATATGTAGGTAGTCTCCTTTGATCTGAAGTTACTGATAATATGTTTGATGTTTTCCAAGGAGTAGAGAAAAACTTGATGTATAAAGTTGTTGTGGCTCGGATAAGCTGTATTATAGGCATACGTTTGAGATATGGAACAATAAAATTACAAAATGGGCTTAAATGAGCTGTTAGCAAAATTTTCCTTTAACATTTTGGACAAGCTTTGTAAGTTACAGTTAGGTTTAGTTATTGGTCTGTGGCGGTTCAAAATGTGAAGGAGTGATCTCTTATTATCATGAATATTCTTTGACTATTATTAGTACTGAAATTAATACATAACATTTAAGGTTATCACCATGTGATAGCCTATACTCAAAATATAAAATGGTTAATTATGCAGTGTTCCCAAGTTATAACGCCATTACTTATGCTGCAGGTTCAGATATACTGTGGGTCTTCCTTCCTTCCCTTACATTGGACTCATCCAGAAAGGAACCTTTTGCTGCATCTTTTTCCACTCTAGTTCAGTCTCTATTGTTGTGAATATCTGATTACAATGTAAGGTTTACAGATGAAGAATTGTCCTGTACTATTATATTAGATTTCTTTTATGAGTAATAGTGGACTTAACTAAGAGAAAGTTGAGCCAGTGAAACTTTTGTAGTTAGCATCTCTGAGAAAAATGATTTTGCATAAAAAATATTCTCTGGTGAAAAAAACAACAACAAATTACTGGCTTTTTAAAGAAATGATTCAACTAAATAAATTCCATGTACTGACTTTATATTGATGTCAATACATAGTTTTCTTTGTACTTTGTTGTCTGTAGCAATTTTAAGAAAATTTAAAAAATTAAAAAGTTGTATGTTGTACATACTATATTGGGTAATACAACTATCTCTTTGGTTATCGCATGGGCGGTCTTGTAATATGGATCACCACGCCTCCCCCAAAACCCGCGTTATAACCAGGGAGTACTGTACTGTGTTGAGCTATATATATATATATTGATACACCAACCTTAAAATTTTACTTTTATTATTCAGACACTTAGCATCTATTCAGCTTGATTTTAAGGAATATATCAATTACAAATGATTTCAGTAAAATATAATGTTCATATGAAAATTTTTGCATTAAGAAAATCTTATTTTGTCAGCATTTTCCAGATTTAATTTGTAATTTTAATGAATATTAGCAACATTTTAAACTCTGATATACATAAAATCTTTTTTTGTTATGAAAGACCTTGCAAAATAGCACTATCATAAAGTACTAAACATTTGTATCAAAATTCTCAATAACTATCCAATGATATTAACAATATCACAATATTACCATCATATACACTATTTTCTTCTGTATCAGGGAGACTGCCATGCGAAGGATACTGTCGATAATGGCGAGCTAAACCTCCTTGACCAATGTAAGCTTTATCACAACTTGTACACTTATGATTTCTTGGGCGGACTGTGTTTGCACCTAAAAGGAAAATAAAAGACAACTTAAAATAAAAAAAATTCCACACTGCAAAACATATGTGAATATAAAGTCCCTAGCTAGCATTAATATATTAACTTTATGAATATCTACTTATAATATGGTGCAACTGTTGATATTTCTAACCAAATGGTACAGTAAAAGAAGCATTGAAGCATAACTGAAATTCACAACATTGAAAAAAAAAATTAACATATGCAAACACTATGCCAAAATGTATGCAAACAGTATGCATTCCATATTGCATTGTGGTCTACAATTGATGCATTTCACATCTGCACCTACAACATAACACATGGAAAACACAAGACTATTTGGTTATTCAAAACTGTCCTTGCTGCACACTCACTCTTACAAAAAGTAAAATTTAAAACCCACCTTAGAAAATCATTGATTCCTCTTTTAAACTCTTGTAAAGTGCTAGCCTCCACTACTTCCAATAGCAACTTATTCCTTAAGTCAATAAAACCTATTGTCTTCGGAATACAACTCAAACAAATAGGAAGCCTTTATTCTATCACCCCCCCCCAAAAAAAAACTGTAAGTAGAGCAATTAACTCCATTAATTAACTACCTACAAAGCATAAGTTGCATCACTTAATGTCACAAACCAGTCAATTAACTAAGATTATGATTAAAGTGATTGTCATTAAAATAACTAATCAAAATTAATGTGTCCAATTATTATCCTTTTTGATTATTTAAGTAATGAAAATACTGCCATTATGATTTTCAATTAATTCAAGGTCATTCAGATTGATTAATGTTTCTGATTATTGCTCTTTTTCACTATTCCAGCTGTCCACGTCTATTGTACAAATAATTGATTAGTTGAATGCGATTGATTAATGAGGCTGACAATTAATCAATTATCAAACTCCATCAAGTGGCCAACTCTACCTCTTACCCTTCTTTTCTTAAAAGAAAATAAATTATCTTAACCGATCCCTCTTAGATAACCTTTCCATCCATGGAAATACCTAGTAGCCTACTCTGAACCCTTTCCAACAAGTCAATATTCATTTTTTTAGGCAAGGAGACTATATTATTCCAAGTAATGTCTAACTAGTGATTTGCACAGAGATAATTATCTCTTCTGATTTGTAATTATTATGTCTATAAATACATCCTGTAATTCTATCAGCTTTGCCACTAGCAATAAATACTACCTTCGATGGCTTGAGCAACTTTTACACTACTATGTCACTATTCTTTTCTTCAGTAATGCTGTAGTTGAGTTATATTCATAATTTTTTGTGTAACCATACACAGTATCAAACTTTGTAGGTTTTTATCCTTACACCCTAATACTAGGAACAACAAATAAGATGAAGAGCTTCCAGATATTCTGAAAAAAGAATCTATAAAACAAAACATTATAAACAGTGTATTCATGATGTTAGAAAAACATGTAGGTTCAAGAAATCTTGATATAAATGAATAAAAACCCTATAACCCAAGCACTTTCAAAAGGTGGACCTTTCTTCTTCAGGGGCAAACTAGGAATGTATTAAAATTAACACCATATATGTTTTCATAAACTCCATACCTATACCTTGCGCATGGCTATTATAAAATCTCTAAAGTCACCTAAACAATGTAAGTTAACTAGTAAGACAAATAGGATCTTAGACTGTATGGATTGAGTACTAGTCAAAACAAAGGTCATTAGCTCATTCTCTAAGGTGCTGGTTACACTCCACTTGGAACATTGTTGTTCTGGTCACCTCAGTTAAGAAAGGGTATTGAGTTCTTGGACATGGTTCAGAGAAGAATTACTATCATAGTTACAGGTTTCAAGGTTAATGTATGTTGGAAATCTCTTGGCACATCCACTGGTAAACCTCCCACCATCTTCTAGGCAAACATTAGGGCTAAATATGAAGAAGTCATGTTAAAAAATATATGGGATTTCTCTATAACACTGAGTGGATAAAGGACATATTATTTAGAAAACAGAACAAAATGAGAAAAACCTGTATACAAACTATTATAACTAATAATACCCAGATCCAGCCTCAACCACTGTGGGGCTCTACGTGTAGTTAAGATACAAATTTCATAGCCTCTGATAGCATTTGGAAAAAGCAAAGTGATGGAAATTATAGAACATGATAATGTGGTAAGTTTGTTAAAGGGTCAACTTTATGGTTTTACATCTTCATCTTTAACAATCACTCATAGAAATATCTATGCATGTCCCCCAAAAGTAAGGAACCCTAGACAGCTGCCTCACAGCCAGTTCTGTTGATACTTTATAGGCTTACATAGTTTGTTGAGAACAGAATAAGAGTGTTAATCTAATATCCATATCACTGAAGAACAGTTAATCTTCTTGTTTATAGTCTTTAGGGTATCCCTTATTTGTTTTCCTTTCAATAGTATCTTGTTTGTTTTAATTACGCTTGATGCAAGGTCTGTGACCTCATCACGTATAACATGAATAACAAAAGCATCACTTTGGAAGAGTATGAGGAACATCTGTATCAAAAAACATTCCTGCTCAACCAACACAATATTATTTCTGACAGCCAAGTATATATTCTAGTACCTTTCACTTTTGGGGAGTAGTTGCTCTGTCCTGTCCTTTTCTGGAACTTTTGCTATGAAATATTTCTTTGTGGTGTCCCACTTCTCAATAATAGGCACGATTTGCTACTGTGGTCAGTCAGCTGCAATTCATATGTCTCAAACATAGACTGGGATTCAAATCAAATTCCAGTTCAATTTGTTGGAAATCCTCTATTTTGCAAGGTATCTCCTTGAAAAACATCAAGTTTTTCCACATCAAATTCTACAGTATGTCTAGGCCAGCTCCTAATGTATTGTTATGACAGCGGAAGTCACGTGACGCTGGTAACATGTGATGAGTTTATTGAATGATCATGAATTTTCTAGTGCATTCAGGATGCCCCCTTTTTTAGAAATAAGCCTGGCAGATAAAGCCTGCACGATTTTTGATTGAAGAGATATAGATAGATATTGAAGTGATAGATAATT